CCATGTCCATAGACTCCATAATGACCGCCTTGCCAAGGGAAGCCAACACAGGAAGAAGGCCCTTAGGACGTCCACGAATGCAATGGAGAGACAATATATGGTTAGATCTACGAACAATGGGGCTACTCACTGACCCAACTATTATAGACGACCGTTCAAGATGAACACAAGTAGTGCAGTCAACCAAGATCCACCCCGGGTTGTAGTGCTACGAGAAAAAGAAGAAGAAGTCTGGGTACTTTCCGTTCTCCATTGTCTCTTGGTTTGTATTTCTAGATCTCTGTACTTGGCGAACTTTTCGTTGTATTTAACACGTAAATTATTGATGTTAGTTATCGCAACATCAATAAGTGTTGTTTGCCTAGTAAGTTATTAACTAGTATGAGATCCGGTCCATTATGTGCCACTGGTTGGTCTGTGAGCATAGTGCGGTCATAATATATCTTGTAGTTGTCATTTTCATGCATTTTGTCAGGGACGTATTGATAATAAGGAAGATGATCGGTTTGGAGAAGTCCCAGTTTGCCCCTAGCAGGTAAGATGTTTGATGGTTTCTTAAGCTTAGCATCCATATCGACATCTGTCATCGACATCTGTCGTTTTGGACTTAAGGATCTTTAAGAACATATTTCAGGTAATTTTTAGTGGGAACAACCTGATCCTGAATGGCAAGTAGGAAACCTTCAGTTTCGAGAAACATCTTTTCTGATTTCAACCAATAGTTCGACATTGCATTGTCGACATATTCTTGGCTGATCTTATTGAGATGTCGCCCATGCAGAGGTTTACTCATTACTTGTTCCCTCAGTTTAAGCGCCGTTGTATCATCTACTGCTCAAATTGCTCGATGTAAAGTAGATGTCTGAGCCTGTACCTGAAAATAAGTTCTTAAATTAGCAACCTGTTTATCCAGTTGCTCACCTATTTCCATACGTCCCCTTCCCCCTTGATACCGCGGCAATGTTGTTCTCTCTACTGCAGTGCGTATATGGTATTTTTGCGCCTTTGTGAGAAGTATTCTTACTTTCCGCTGAAGACCCTTCATATCCGTTTTTGATCACTTTATAATACCAAATGAGTAGCTCAGCCATACGTATTTAATGCCTTAAACAGGTTTTTACCATTAAGATATGACTAATAAATGTTTAAATTATTCTTCTTCTTCTTACGGTGCCTTATCCTTAAGGACGTTGGCCATTAAATTTGCCCATTTAATCTTATTTGTAGCAGCCCTGAATAGTTCTATGGAGGTCATGTTCGTCCATTGCCCTAGATTTTTAAGCCAAGAGTTGCGTCTTCTTCCTGGTCCTCTTTTGCTATTGACTTTGCCTTCGATTATAAGTTGGAGCAGTTCATACTTTTGATTTCTTATGATGTGACCAAAATATTGTGTTTTCCGTTCTTTTATTATAATCATAAGCTCTCTTTCCTTATTCATCCTCCGCAAGACTTCCGCATTTGTCGTATGGCTCATGTAAGATATTCTGAGCATTTTACGGTAACACCAGAGTTCGAATGCTTGGATTCTTTTTTGTGTTGCTTCTGTCATTGTCCAGGCTTCAACACCATAGAGCAAGGTGGAGAAAACATAGCATTTAAGTATTTAAGAACATCAATGAGATGTTCAGCTGACGGTTGCATAGAACTTTTTGCATTTTGTAAAACATTGTACGTGCCTTTTCCAGGCGTATTCTTATCTCTAGTAAGTGGTCCCAAGTTTCATCAAGTTTACTTCCAAGGTACGTTGTTCTTGTTATTCTTTCCTGATCTGTTCCGTCGACATTGACCTTCACCCTTCTGTTTTGGTGCTTGCTGATGACCATCGTTTTTGTCTTCTTTGTATTCAATTTCATTCCAAATTCTCTACAGGCTTAAATTATTACATATTATTATTCTATGAGATAAACAACTTTCTTTGTGTACTACTATTAGCGAATACATCTACAATTTTATTATTATCTATCTGATGGACAACTTCATTTTCAATACTTTATGATTTTATTAATTTAAGTTGTTAAAAACAATATGTACGCATGACATACTTCTGGTATGCAAACACTAGTACAATGAAAATCTAGAAGAATAATTTTGGCTGCATTATAAGTAATGCTCGCTGGTTCCAACTGTGTCATAAATGATTTTCAAGCAAATTGCAGTTGATCCAAAAGCTCATTACTTAAATCTGAGGGGTACGCTGCAACTAATTTACTGGCTTCTGCAAAAATTTCTGAATCCAGTTTGAAAAGATATTCACTTTTAGGATCTAAGACTTTAAAATCGTCATTCGCTTTTTACACACTTATAATTCTAGCTTGACTTTGTGGAATGATTCCCTCGAGAATTTCGAAAAACACTCCTACTCTATATCTTTCTTCAGGATTAAGATGCGTTGATCTTGTTCATCAAAATGCTTCTTTACTCTACGAAACCTTCCGATTTTAAAAATACAGGGCAAGCCACAACTATTCGCAAAATCTTTGGATTCTTGTAAAGTTTTGCCTAATATTTAATAAAAAATCTTTATGGTTATGTAAAAGTACTGTTGCGTGTGAGAACTATTGAGAACTATTGTGCGAGAGTATCTTCAGGAAATAGTATTTGCATATTTTTAAATTCGTTGTAAAATATTCCTTTAGATTCTGGTGTCAATCTGATCTTTTTACTCGTTCTACTCTTAAACCATCTCCATTCTACAAAATAGATCTAATACGCGTAGTAACTTTCTTGTTGAAACTCGACAACATATGAAACTAAATTACGAAATTGTTTAAAATCCAGTGACTAGAAATTCTCGTAAATAATTCAGACTCCTTACATCGTTAAGGAGTCATTAATAATTACTTTATGATTACGGTTTTAATGTTACTGATACTAAATTAGAAATTAACTTTTACCAAACTTTATAGAGTATTAATGGATTCGACCGTTACTTGATGGAAATTCATTTTATGTAACAATAAAACACTGAAAACTTTGTTTTCAAACTTCCACAAAATTTATTTTAAATATTATCACTACAGGTGTTTCGGCTGATTGCCTTTCTCAAGTGATCTATTTTGGCTTGGGTTTACAAATTTATAGTCTCTAATGAAATAGGTTGAGGAGGGGAGAACTGTTTGTCTCAAGTTGGTCATTCAGAATTATATCTGTGTTTTTTAATTTGTTGATTTCCATAGATTCTATAGTTTTGTGGAAGTTTGAAAACAAAGTTTTCAGTGTTTTATTGTTACATTTATAGAGTATCAGTTATTAAAGATGATATTATAACAAACAAAAAGTTTGGTTTCTGTAAAACAATATGTGTACAATTAAACTCTATTTATTATTTAGGTGAGTAATAATTTTGTAATTAGTCCGGTTTCAAATAATTTAATTTGTTTAATATTGCAACGCCACTGCATGGGTCTGATCATAGATCAGACGCATCAGATGCATTCTATTGTCTGCGCGATTAACTATTTTTTGGAAGGGCTCGCCACTCGATTTGAAATAAGCGGATCAGCTTCCAAAACATATTCGTATAAAATGTCATTCCAATATTGCGCAAAATCGTAAAAATGTGTAACATTTTTTTTCTTCAACGCTCTTTATCTTGAAAACGGATAGCGTTACAAAAATTTTTTATAAAGCAAACCCCAATTATTTTTCAGTTTTTTACCTATTTTAAATACGGTGTCTTTTTTGAAACACCCTGTATAGGTATTATTATTTATATTGATATCAAACGGTTGCCCATTTAGCTTTGACTTCATTATTAAACAAAAACAAATTAATGGTGGTTATGATTAATTTGAGAAATAATTAAGTACACTAATATTTGTTGTTACAGTCCTGTGCAGGTCAAAAATGACATTTTGCATTTCAGAGCATCCATATGCAACTTATGATAATTTATTTTAGTATGTTACGAAACTTGGCCAATTTACTTAATTTTTCGTTTTGACCAACAGAACACGTACCTTTTTCAGGCTATCTGTCTGGTTCGGAGGAATTTTAAATTGGCAATAAATAAACATTTGTTTACGTTGGTTCATTTTATGTTTTCATATATTTTTTTGGTATCTAAATTGTCGTCTTTATGTACCTGTAGGTATACTCGTTGGTGCATTCAAGGCAATACTGCAGGGGATTAAATGAGACTGAAATATGATCTTGTACGTTCAGTCATTTTTGCTAATAGCGTCGTCCACTCTGGGTTCTTTTAAAGTGCTTATCGTCTGGTGTAATTTTAGAAACCTTGAGATAGGCGTTTTTGAGAGATCTTTTTTATACATACTATCAACGGGTTATTTAAATCGTCAACATTCATTCATGTTTTAAATACTGCAAAAAAGTAGAACAGCAAAACAGACTACAAAATCGTCCAAACAGTTGTGAAAATAAATACAATATCAAATAAAAAAATGTTTAGATACAATTTACTATAAAAATTTTTTTTTATATTATAGGGGCAATAATGACAAAATATGAACAACTTCAGGTCCTTATTTTTGACTGCTTTTAATAACCTTTATCATTAAATTTTGAGTAATCATGTGAAGATTATCTAGAACTGACTCTAAGATTTATTAGCTTTTTTAACCCTACATTTAGGATGTCCTCATTGACGCAAACACTGTAGTGGCATTGTATGAGGAGCTGACAGCGATAGCGATCACTTTCTGTTGTTTTGATGTTCTATTCATTATCGCATAAAATATTTCTAAAGGCTTCGACGACTTGTATTAACTCGTCTCTACGTGATACTATTTCATTTTGCTTCTTTCTTAATTTATGAATTTCGCATTTTCCATTTTTACTATCTTCTTTTAGCTTTTTACTAGGAACTTTTAAGCTGTTTTATTACAGGTAACTGGGCTAAATCCAGTGATTTACCTTCCTCTCGTTACAGTTGGTTAGTTGTTTCCGCTAAAAGATGACTAGTTTGTTTAAATTTATAGTATAGCGTGCTTTATAAGTTGGTAAATGTAGAAGAAAAAAGGTTTAATAAAACAACGGCTATAACAATAAATTTTATTTTATTTACTTAGACATATGGATTTACTATTACTACCTTTCTTTAAGAAGGTACGATATGTTCTTAAATAAAAAATCTTCAAACGAAAAACATCTCTGTTGATTGTAAGCTAAAAACTCACACCTGTACATTGTTTATTTCAAATTGAAAACAAATTTCAAGGCAAAAATGAAACGATCATAATAAAATATGTGAGAATGTACACTACAAAGAATATCTTGTCTAACAATTTTCCGAAGAGTTCCCAATCTTGAGTATTTACTGTGGAAGAAGTGTTGCTATTTACAATTGTTGCTCCATCTTCTTCACCTTTGGCTGCTGCTGCTTCCTAAAATAATGAAAAAACGATGTAAGAAGTGTAGATGAAAATACAAGTATACAAACGTAATTGAATACATTTAAAAACTAATAAGTTGAGCAGTTTTATGACAAGAAAGCAGATAAAAATCACAATAAAACAAATCAGAACAGTACTGAGATTATAGATTTTGAAAGTGGTCTAAAATAGAAACGTTCGATGATGATTTTGAGTGTCTCTTAATGGTACCTTATTTTTTAATGTATATATTCTTATATCTTCTTAAGATAGACGCACTGAAATATTCTGTTGGAGAAGAATGTACGAAATATCGTGGAGCAACCACAGGACAAATAATTCAATTTTAAATAAGCTAAAGGTCACCAAACGGCTTTCAAGCAAAGTCTATCTCCAATAAGTAAAGTGCTTTGAACATGTTATGAGAGCAGATACAGAAACCATGGAATGACTTATTATACAAGGAGAGATAGAAGGCCTAAGACCACGAGGAAGATCCCCAACATGATGAATCGACCAAATGAAAATATGAAATTTCATCTGAATATGCAAAAGACTAATGTATGAGGTAAAAGAAATGACCAGTGACAGAGAGAGAGAGATCCTACGTCCTAAGTCAATGTCTGGGTCGATTAGAAGTCATTTTATTTGTATAAATATGCATATTGCTTATTCAATTTTCCATTTACTCGAGATTCGGGTCCAATTGGTTGTTTATCCAATAACCCAGGTACTTTCTTTTGTTTATTTTCTCCAGCATTTAACCATTCGATGTGATAGGCATTGGAACATTTTGAGATCAAGAAAAGTTCACCACTTAGGTCTTATCACTGTTTATTTCCATGTTAAATTATGTTATAGTAAGATTAGACTATTGATTATATCCAACAAAAAAGGGATAAAAGGAACTACAACTTTAAAGCGATTTTATTAGTTTATATGATCAGTGGACCCCCAAATATGAAAAAACCGCAGAGTACTATCATTTAAAGTGGTGAGTTTTTGAGAAAGAGGTGAATTAGTTCCTATACACTAGGGTGTATTTGTGTGAATTCTATGTAGTTTTCTTACATATACATCTAGATAATACAAAATTTTTTTAAATTGATTACGGTATTTCTGCAAAAAAAATCCTCCCTGTACAAACCTGAATTAATGAATACTAATATTTGTATGTAATTATGTGGCTAAAGGTTCTAAACCAAGGCTAGAATACAAAAAACAAAATTTTTAATTACAGTCATTCTGATTTTTAGAATATTTCACAAAAAATTATGTTTCAAATTCATGCACCAGACTATTTAGGTTTTTCGAGGTATTAATGAAGAAGCTGGATCCAAATAAGATTTTTAAATGTAATATTTTTTCTTAAGAATAAAATTTTGTTTAGAAAGAAGGCGTAAAAAGACATAACTAATAAGTATACCAAAATTTGAATAGTAGTTATAAATAAAATTAACAAAATACATTAATTTATCCATTTATTTTACTTACTTTTGCAGAATAGTCGCTTAAAAGAAGCATCTGTCCTGGTTTGCAACTAATGATTCCCGACACGATGGCCGATATCCAACCCGGTGGCATGGTTTTCCTTTGCATGATGTTTCTAAATATTAGAGTAAATAACAATGCAAAGAGCGACATCAACAATGCGTCCCTTGAAAATATAACTAAAACATTTAAATAATTATTAGGTAGGTAAAAGAAGTGATTAATGAATAAAAACATATCTGTACAAAGTCTTTAATTAAGCATTTCCTTTCTTTAAATTTAAATAAAACAAAGTATGTGGGATATCGCCAAATTGATTTGTTTAAAAGGCCTTTCGATGTCATTGAGTGAGCACTGAGCACCATTATTGCTTTATAGAGTAAACAGTTTGTTACTTTGGATATATATAATGATATACTTGATATACTTTTTGCTCTTAGTTGAGGTCCTAGACCAAAATAACAGTTAGGCACGTATATTATTTTTATTATTTTAATAGATGTGTTGTTTTTCCAGTCCATCGGTGATCGTTTTTTTTTTTTGGTAGTAAGAATATTCAAAAGACCTCTGGAAAAGTGTCCCAGGTGTGTTGGATTCGAACGACTACGCCTCACCGCGGCTGACCGCATACCAACTACTCACCCCTCTTTCTCCAACTGACAGGCCTGGACCTGGGACCGCTCTTAGTGAGCATTATCGTCTGACCCGTCAGCTTTGCTCTTAACTACCATCTGTCGCTTTCCGTCTGCGCTCCGTGATTGTCATAGCATCCCAGTCGCGCCATCCCACCTACGTCTGCTCCGGACTTGGTTTGTATGGTAACTATCCTTGTGCAGAGCGATAGGTAGGAAGCTTGAACTTAACGAGAAAGATCAGACAACAGATACAAGCAGCTCCAGACAATCATACTCCACCCCGGGGGTGGTTCATTTATCCCTCCATCTACACAAGCCCATTACTTTGTAATAGGCTGCTCTAAAAGAAGACACACACCGTCCACTAGATATAAGTGGAAACAAAACAACATGTACGCAAATTGATTTCTGCAATGTACTCAAGTTCTTTGAGATTTTATTTAAGATTTCACAGTCAGGAGTAGAAGCTGAATACTAGCTCACCCCACTGACGACGATAGATACGACACATTAAAATAAATAGTTTACTTCTGTTGCTGTCTCCTCTCTTTCTCTTCCTTGTGTTTTATGGTTTCTGTTACAAAACCAATAATCAAGTCAAGGATTCTTTTGTTTTCAATTGCTTTATCCATTAATTTATGTTGATCACCTAGAGGTGATCTCAGGCCAAGCTGTAGCAAGATTCGCCTCATATTGTTTGATAAGGGGGGATGATACCACATAATGCACGTCATCTACCACTCCACTCGGGACACAGATCCTTCTCAGTCTTCTTTATTTTATATGGAAAGGATATTCTATACCGGAAAGATCCATGACCCATCACAAATTAGATGAAGTAATAGTTGATACATCTGTGTTTACACTCATACCATCTTACTACATCTGGGATACGGGCCCTCGTCCAGGCAGCCTTGTCTGTTTTTCTTGACCATTGGTCCAAACTCCTTTTTCTTTCTTGTGTTCCTGAACCTAAAAGTCCGTTGCCCCTTTGGTGCATCTAGACCCTCTTATTAGACACGATATGCACCGGCACAGCACTGGCCACTACTTGTAAGGCAATGGTTGATACGGTTCTCTACGTGCTTCATTTATTTCGCTTTGTTAAGGATCTCATGCCACACTTGGTGTCCATATAGTAAGATGGACATGATTGATTGTAGAATAACTAATCTTTTGTGTGACCCGGGGTCTCCTATATTCGGCATTATCTTATTAAGGTTCGAAGTCATCTCTTCTGCCTTCCGATATGCCTCTTGTATATGGTGTCTGAATGCCATTTTGTCGTGTAGTATGATTCTCAAATATTTTAAGGTCTTTTGGGGTCTTAGGTCGGAGCCACTAATCCGAAAATTTACCATTAATTTTGATGCAGTCATCTTCTTAAGATGATTACTTCTGTCTTTTCTACTGCAAGTTTTAGGCTATTTCTCTCTATCCATCTCGCAGTTTTTTTTATTGCTTTCTTTACTTTGTTTATAATATTCCAATTCATATCTTCTATAAGTAGGGCAAGGTCGTTTGCATATGCCATATTACTCCTTGTGTTTTGTTTACTTCTAGTACCCCGTTGTATAAAATATTCCATAGTGTGGGTCCCAGGACTGACCCTTGGGCTACTAAAGGAGTCATTTTCATCTTATTTTTCTTCGATATGCATACGCTTATTGATTTACACTCCAATCCATCTACATATTGACATTAATTGCATTGTATAATACACAACATGTATGTTTTGTAATAAAGAATACCTGTTTCCATCCGTAACATTTACTACAGTAGCAAAAATAGTGAATTTGTATTTGCTCATTCAGTGTAATAAAGACGCAAGTGCTCTAGCTCTCAGTATTAAGTTCCAGTTTAGTACTCAGCTCCATTTTTCGTTTAGGAGTCGTCGTAAGTTCAGTTGAGCTTTGAGTTTTGATCATCATATTTTCATTTTACTTCTGCCCAGTACTTCCGCATTGGAAACCCGATTTACCCAGGATATATGTAGGATACACATACAGCAGCACATCTAGAAATCCTCCTGTCGATTCGTACTTATCACAGTTAATGTCCATGTCTCTAATCATAGAGCGAATTTGTAAATATTGACATTTCAGAAGACGAGATTTTGTTTTTAATATGTCTTGGTTCCCAAAAATGGATCTCATCCAGATTTATATATGAGATTTTCAGGTAAATATAACAAAAAATTTAAACCAACATACACGGTCTAATATACAAGGGAAAAAAGATTATAATGCTTTAATTTATTTTATTTGTAATATTTTGTTTGATACTTACTTATAAGAGGCATATTATCTCCCTTTAAGGGAAGTTGCCATGCCACATACTGTACTTGCGTGAAGTGGCATAAGATGTTAACATAACTCATAATCAGTCTTTCTTTATCTACAGGCGATAGTGACAAAACTATCAACGTTAAAATGACGCATACTGAAAAAAAATATTTTTAAATTCTATTATAAAGACATTGATTAAACGTATAATAAAATTGAATCTTAATTAACTCTGTATTATTAAATTCCATCTATGCACATAAATTAGCGATCTCCGTCAAGCACTATTATTCTATAGATCCCAGTGTAAGACTACGCAGAAGGGATATCTGAACATGAACAGAGTAGGAGCTCTTTGCGCAGTACAAACTATTAGGCTGTTGGCTTCAACTTCAACTGCTATGGTTTATGTATCTTATCCAGGTATTTCTCCTGCTATCTAAGAATCATATGTTGATTCTTAGTCCACAATCATTGATTAACAGTGAGCTTGTTTAAAGCAAACTTGCCGAAGTCGTGAGGACTTACCCTGAGAAAAATATACAATCTAATTTTTTACAGTACGATCGATGTAAAATAAGCGAAATCCATTCATGTACGTACCGCAATCCATGTACGTTACAACATACAAACATACTTATGGAACATTCTTTCAAGCTTATCACTGACACCAAAACAACGAAATGAGAAATATTATACCTTGTAAAAGCTCCAAGAGATTGAAGAACATTATATTAATAAAAATGTGAGCAACTTCTACCAGGAAGCGAAAAGGAGCAGAGACCAAGGCGCAAGAGAACAGAATTACTACAAGAGGAAAGAAGGATATGAGAGGATACGAGATATGCAGGGAGGGATGAATAACTGGATGGAAATGATGAAGAGCAAGTGAAAATGATACAGGAAGTTAACAACTCGACGGAAACAATGGCAAACAATGACAAAAGGCACTTAAACTTAGAAAAATTCCAAGCCATGGGTCTCTAGGGCATGTTGTGAGAATTATGTGAACAAAGAGAGAAGTATTAAGATAGATAAGAACGTAGCTGTAATAGTAGAATAGCGTAGAATAGAAACATGAAGGAATGGATGAGAATGATAAATTACTACCTCACAGGTTTTCACTATGTGGTGACAACAATGGATAAAAATTTCACACTAATATTCTTCTTCTTCTTCAGTGCCTTATCCGGTCCGGATGTTGGTGATCATCAAGCCTATCATGGTTTTGTTGACTGCTCTCCGGAACATCTCCGCGGAGATCATTCCAAACCATTGTGTGATACCACGAGATACGACGGTGTCCTGATCCCCTGCTGCCAAATACTTTACAATGCAAAACGAGTAGAATACACACTATTTATTATCCGGCATGGATTCTATGCTTTGTAAGCTTAATAATATATTTTTCAAGTAAGGAATACAATTTTAAATCAAAATCAATACAACCAGTTTTTCGTTGAGACGATTTTCTTAAATTTGTATAACTTACCAATTACAGGAATTACCATACTGGCAGCATGACTTCCAGCTAACCTTTTTATGGTAAAAGTAATATCAACAGAAGGGTATGTATTGTTGGGACAGCATGCATAAACACCCTTATGTTTAACGGTCGAATGGGACAAAATCTCCCATTCCCCGTTAGGTATCAAGTCGTCTACATTTACAACACTCTTATCGGCTACAATATCTATTTCTTCTCCCTGAAATGAATAATAATGTACATAAATTTAAACTCAGCTAGAGAAATTGATTTCAAAGTATCTGATCTTCTCTGAGGAGACCTAAGGAGGTCGAAATACGTATAAGCGGCTTGTCGCTGCTCTGTATCGAATCAAAATCTAATACTGTCATTATGTTTTATTTCTTTACTTCGTTTGGAGTACCAGAAATTGAATTCACTACGAATTTTGACCAAGATGAACGGCATTTGGAATGCAATATTAGATTCCCTTGCCGATTGAGATCAAGAGATCAAGATTGAGATTAGATTCCCTTGCCAATCAAGCTGTTTGCTTTGCAAGTTTTAGAGATCACGGTGGTCAAAATTTGAATTCGATTTCGCCAGGTAGAAATCGTATGATTTCTCTTTTTGTTCTTAGATGGCGTAGTTACGTCTGTAACTACGCCTAATAATATTTTTGATAACTATGGTCTACGACGGGAATAGATTTTGTTTCGATACGGATTAGTGGCTATACCGTTCTGAGGAGACCTAAAGAGGTCGAAATACTTATAAGCGGCTTGTCGCTGCTCTGTATCGAATCAAAATCTAGTACCGTCATTATGTTTTGATTTTAAAGCGTTTAGGTTTAGGGGGGAAAGGAGAACCCAACAATTGGCAGTGATAAAACAAATAATATGGAGTTGATGGTTATTAAAAACAAAAATGAATATCTAACGGATTCATTTGTATTTCAGTATGACCGAAAGACACATGTAATTAGCCCTCAGTCTCGGATATCACCAGCTATCTTACCATATTCTTTTTAATATTCCTGGAGGTCTAAATAATTTTAAAAAATGCCTACTTTCGGGTTTAATTTGCAATAAATCTTTTATTTATAAGCATTTTTTAATTCAGAAAATCTCATTTTAAAGATTAAGATAAGTAGATAAGATTGAGATAAGTATTTTCAAGAAAGTCGTGTCTTAAAGGTTTTCATCCACAATGCATTGTTTTTTAAATATTGAAATAAATGAAAAACGTCGCTTTTTTATTAATGATAATAAAAAATGTTAAAAAAAACAATGACTTAATAACAATTTAGATACCCACGAGATGGTACTCCTTTTCTATTGACTTCTTCCAGATATTCCAGTTATTTTATGCCTTGAAGTGTTCTTTCGGCTTCGTTTCCTGGTTTATATAGATAAATTAACCCGTTTAAAAATAAGGGAAGAGTGGCCCAATATATATGTGTGAAGTGTTTTAACTTCTGTGTTTTTTAAACGATGGTATACAGCCAATTATGGGGTTTTTCCCCATTAATTTTATATTATTGACAGTATGGTCAATTTGGCTCTTTAGTATTTGCGGCTAGCAACACAAAGAAACAACTTAAAGTTAGATATATGGTTTATCCACCAATGTCTCAAATTCAAAGTTTTTCCAGCCTTCAGTGTTGTCAGGACATCTAAGAATGTACCACTCAACATCAGGACTTCACTGCAGAAAAAATACCATAATACACATGTGTGAAATGTTTTAACTTCTGTGTTTTTTTAAACGTTGGTATACAGCCAATTACGGGGTTTTTTCCCATTAATTTTACTTACAATTTTGTTTTTGACTCGAGAATAATTAGACACTCACCTTGTGCATCCAGGAACCTATCCGTAATTTGCAATCCTGTTTATCGAAAGGATATTTCGACAAATTGGGAACACACAACACATCCATATGAATGGGAGGTACGCAAAGAACGACGCCATTATAATTTACCATGCATCTTATAGTCGAAATCAATTCCGGATCTTCTCCTTGATTAGCTCTGAAAATACATATACGTTAATACTTTATCTAAATATAACATATATATATATATATATATATATACAAAAATATATAAAAAAAAAACTTCGTAATATAAGTCAGTATAATTTAATAATCAAACAATGTAATTCTAAAAGTTTTGTGGAAATACCGTCTAAACTAATTAGACATGGATCACCGAAATTCTTGAATTGCTTCGTACATTGTTTGAAATATACTAAGTGAAATCCGAATACCCATTATAAATTATTATATTTTGATAATATTTTGTAAAATTATACAGGATAGCAAAATAATCAAAAGATCAAAATTTGATTTTGAAACAATTTTGAGTTAATGATTGAAACAACGTACAAGAGTAAATCAATTAATAATGCGTCGATGAAGCAATATTCTTACACAGTGGTGAAATTTTTAACAGTACTATCCCACTAGGAGAAATAACCCTGTCTTTCAGGCTGAGACCTTTGCAATCTTGCACTGTGCAAGAGAAATTAGAGGGCTATTAAAGGCCCTCTAAGATTGACTCTAGGCTAGTATGGAAATGCCGAAAGAAAATCATTAGACTGGCAAAACATAACAGTGTCGCACTGGTATGGTTCCAGGCCAGTGGAAAATACATGACAATGGCAGAGCTGATCAACTTACCAGAAGAGCATCAGCTTCAAAATACTTCAATCTAGAGTCGGCCGTAGGAGTGCCAAAGTATCGTCCGCGACCGAAAAAAGACTGATCCGAAGGTAACCCTCACTGGAAAAACATACCCGATCAAGTTTAAAATAATGGGCTCAGAGTCATAAAACACTTCCTTACTGGACAAGCATTCTTATATCGCATGTGCTCACACTTGTGGGAGATTACCTCGTGACTGAAAAATCATATTGTATTGACCTTCTAGAGTTGTATAAGCTGTTACAGGATTTCAGAATCCTGGAATGAGTATCATGAGTGAATGGAAGATATAAAATAAGCCAACTGGCTAAAGTACGACCGATTTTCAACAGGTGGCTAACATGAAAAAATCATTATGATCTAATTTGGATGGTATTTGCTGATAAAATAGAACCGTTCTATAGTGTATTTTTATGTATGAGAGAGTAATAAAACAATAAATTATGTATGCAAATCCCTAAACTGTTGATACGGGTGACTCAATGAAAAACAGATATTTGTCAACAAGTTTACAGAAGTATATAGGAAAACAATTTTAAATTGAGTATGACCATCAGGTATAAAGGTTGGAGCAGAATAGAATACAATAGTTGTGAGGGTTACTAATCCCTAAATAAGGTTGCCAGTGTCGGAGTGATGGAGGTTAACAGGTACTAATGAATTTGCAAGAAATGTAAGATGTTTATTTTATTGGTTATATATAACCAATAAAAGTTTAATAACCTACCTATTTGCAAAATAAAGTTTAATTCTTTAGATAAAATAAAACGTTTTATTTTATCTGAAATGAGTGCATTCCACGAAGTAAGGGTTTCAACAATCAAACATTTAATTCTTTAATTCCAGGAATCTACGACAGTAATTGACTAGATAATTACCTTCTAAAATTATTCCACAGAAAATGTGATAGTGGGTTTTTCCATTTTGTAGGAAGGTCCAAGTGGCGTATTCAAAATTCTTAACAGTTCACTAAAAGTAGGTACTTCAGTTGCAAGGTGCAGTTTATTGTGTATACTAGTGTTATGAAAAATTTGGAAGTGCCGTGTAAACGCCGAAAAATTGGTCCTTTAACAGTTAATGAAAAAACATTAATATTTAATTGTTTTAAATCATTTACAGACAAACGTTTATGTGAAAGTGTTGATGAGACCGTTGAGTTAGTTAGCAGTACACTTGGTGTTGGGAAATCTACGATTTACAGAGTTATTAAAGAAGAGAAATGTGGTAGTTTTCAAATGCCACGTAATGCTCCAGGGAAACCAAAATTTCAAATAGAATATCATTTTAAAGAAGGACTTCGACGGAAAGTGCACGAATTCTTCTTTAGACAAGAATTTCCAACATTGGATAAAGTTCTTGTCTCAGTTCGAGATGATAAGGATTACCCAGAAATGAGTCGAAGTACGTTATGGAAACTTTTAAAAGAAGTAGGCTTCCGCTGGAAAAAGAATCCCAGAAAGTCTATTTTATTAGAAATGAGCAATATTGTCATATGGAGAAGACATTTTCTAAGAACCATAAAGGAAATGAGAAACCAAAAAAGAAAAATATTTTATCTTGATGAAACATGGATCAACGAGGGTCATACACCAAATAAATTTTGGCAGGATGAAACTGTTACAAGTCAAAGGCACGCTTTTGTAAATAACTTATCTACTGGTTTAAACCCACCATCAGGAAAGGGACGCAGGCTGATAATAGTACACATTGGCAGTTCAGACGGTTTTGTTGAAGGTGGTTTATTAACTTTTGAATCAACTCGTACCGGTGACTACCATGAAGACATGAACGCTGATGTCTTTCAAGAATGATTCGAACAAATGATAGATCTTCTTCCTAAGAACTGTGTAATAGTAATGGATAATGCAAGTTATCACTCCAGACTTAAAGAAGGACTGCCCACAACCAAGTGCTTAAAAAAAGACTTGCAGAATTGGCTGAGTTCAAAAAATATTACGTACCATCCCGGATCTATAAGAAAGGAACTTTATTCGTTGTGTGCCATTCATAAAGAAAAATTTAAAAAATACGAAATTGATGAAATTGCCAAAAATCGTGGAATGACAGTACTTAGATCCCCACCATATCATTGTGAATTAAACCCGATTGAACTGGTATGGGCACAGATAAAGAGTGAAGTTTCAAGAAAAAATACCACTTTTAAAATTCATGATGTTAAACAGTTATTTTTGGAGGCCGTAAATAATGTAAAACCTGAAAACTGGGAAAAGACAGTAAATCACACTATTAAAGAAGAGGAAAAAATGTGGAATCTAGACAATATTACTGATAAAATGATCGAGCCAGTTATTATAAATCTTGGTTCTGAAAGTTCATCTTCTGAATCTGATTTGGATTTATAACAAGTAGCTGTAAGTTTTATATTAATATTTTTATTCATCTATTTAACATACCTTAGACGGTTTTAAAAACTCTTTTTCTCTTTTGTAATTTTTAAAAATTAAAAAAAATGTAAATTTTTTAAAACCCTTTTTAATGTAGGTCAGTCAGTTCTAATATAGTGTGTGATAAAAAAGGTCACTTTTGTTTACATACACATAACACTTTATAACACTGAAATAATTCATTTATTTTTTACAATTATTCAAAGTAATTTTTCAATTAATCTTGAGCACGCCCATGGAGTGGTCGAAGGTACCAGTTAAAATTATGCTAATTACTCTCTCGTTCATAAAAATAAACTATAAGTGATCCAAGTTTTTAAAGTGTTCAGTACCCAAAAAACTATGAAGACTGTATTCAGCAATTTTATAAATCTTAAATACTTACAAATTATAAACAGACAAGTCTGGTGTCCATATTTGATAGGTATATAAATAAATATTTTTAATGTTTTCATGGTCACTCGGTTTCCACGTTAAGTGTTGATCACGCCAATACTAAAAATTTAATGTTTTACACAAATTCATAACCATTTATCAAAGTACATACCAATGACAACCAGGCATCCACACTAAAGGTACTAGTAAGAATATCCTGAAAAATAAAAAAAATTTAAGTATAACATGAAGTTTCAAGTATTTACAAAAGTACATAATTCATTTTTTCTAAAATTGTTCTGTTTTTTGCTGCAAATGACAGAAATATTGTTTCTCCAAAATAAACAAAACCTTCTATTCCTTCATTTTTCTTGGTCTCTTCAGAATAGTTATTTCTTTTTAAAGACTGGAATAGGATTCTTATTTTCTAAAGATAATGGTACCTTTTATGAGATGGAGCTTTATACACTCGTGTATCCTGTATTTTTAAACTTTGGTTTTTCTTCTGTTTAATTATTGCATAATCAATTATTGATCTAAAGTTATATTTTTGGGTCTGGGTATATTTGTGTATATCTCAATGTTGAAAGGAGCAATTTAATATTTTAGATTATTATTTTCGCAGCCTGCTAGAATTCTATTTCCATTGTCATTTACATTTTCTTCATCATTTGGACCAATATTTTTTTTTATATTCTTCCCTACTCGTCCATTAAGATCTCCAAGTATTATTATTTCCCTAGACGTTCCAATTTTTCTCATTACATCGTCTATTTGTTCATATAAATCGTCTTTTTTCTCAAATGTTGCATTATCATTTACCTCGTAGATCCCCAGGATTGTCAATATGTATCCCCATATCTATAGGTTCATTTTTATTTTTCTACTTGGATCAGTATTGACACTTCTTGTTGCGCTCGTTGATTTTTTGACATACCACTAAAGGAATGGTCATAATATCCAAGTTGTCAGAACCCTGTCCGTTTTTTTTTGTTACAGTTATAACAGCTATGTTCATTTAAATTTAGTCCTTTTACTTTAGTCATTTATTTTCTTTGATAGAACTGGTACGTTCCACGTGCCATATATCAGTATCCTTTTTCTTTGGAATTTTCGTTGCTGTTTGACCAATTTCTTCCCGATGCTTTGGTTAGGTTTTTAAATTTTTGTTTAAGGAGTTCCAATAGTTTTTGAGGAGTTCCAATAGATTTTTAAACTATTTTAAACATTAAATCAATTAGTTAGTCATCATTCAGTTTAATAAGTTTAATGATTTGGAGTTATAAAGTTCAAAGATCATGAAGTGCTTCAGTAATTGATTCACACAGCTAATATAGCTGCATAATTGAGGGTTCATAATTCAAACAAGAAAATTATAAATTACACATGCGAAAAAACGATACATTATAGTTTTAAAAGAGTCAAAGAAATTATTTAGCAGTAAATCTTTTTCTTGTACATTTTGAATAGATTGCCTGGCGATGGTTATGAAGAGAAAGCAGCAAGAATTAGAAAGCAACAACACCCGTGCTAAAATATAAATCATGGCCTGCAAGACCTTCAAGGTCTCTCGAGCTTTATAAATAAATATAAAAACTGCGTTAATACTTACAAAATCAAAGTACTTTAAAATAAGTTTAAACGACACAGATGTTGCGTTTTGATGATTGACCACAGGCCTTACTGAGCTGTCGTAATTACAGAGGACTGCATCCTTTAACTTAACGTAAGTTGTGCCAGAATTACTGGGAGGGCAGCTAAGGTCTTCTGCACTAGTGGCTAAAAAAAGGTTAAATTAGTAAACCAAATAATATAAACTTTAATAATATAGACACATGCACAAACATATATTTATATAGGAGTCTTCTTGCCAGTCTCTCTGATGACGGGTAGACCCAGAAACACGTGTTAGAGAATTGTAAGAGACTCAAATAAAATTCAAACGCAACCGTATACGTATTTTCGTATATTTATATATAAAACAGGTTGGTATTTTATAATTTTTTTAAAATAAGCAACGATAACTAGGTTAATTGAAAAAAAGGTTAAAAGAACATAATGGTACTGAAGACAAGGAACTCGGACAAGCTAGTTGTTCTTCATTTGTAAATGCAGGTAAATAATTTGTTCTTATATAGGTTTAAGTTACATCTACATTAAATATTCTTTTTATTGTTTTGATCTTCTTTTAGGGGATAACTAATAACTCTCAAAACAACATAAGAGAAACAAAATTAAATATTTGAAGATTTTGAGCAAAGTGAAATTGAAGAAGCTTTTCTCCTGACGTTTCGGAGTATATTCCTTTATCATCTGGTAAATATAAATACCTTCTACTTTTGAATTGTCTTAATTTTTACAGAATCATCAGAAAGTTCTAATTTATATCAGAATTATTCTGGTTCAGGTGATTACCTCCGATAGAGCAATGATAAATTGACAGCCCTATTTATCATCATCATCAATCAGCGAATCGCGTCCACTGCTGGACATAGGCCTCCCTCAGTTCTTTCCAGTGTTCTCTACACTGGGCCGCTTGTAGCCAGTTTCCCGCTACACGTTTTATATCATCGGTCCATCTAGTCGGTGGTCGTCCTCGGCTTCTTTTATAGTTTCTGGGCCTCCATTCCATAATACGTCTTGTTCACCGTCCATCTTGTGCTCTGGCTAAGTGCCCTGCCCAGTTCCACTTAAGCGACGTGGTTCTTTCGATGACGTCTTGAACTCCTGATCTTTGCCTGTTTTGTTGGTTTGTTATGTGGTCTCGGAGGCCCTATTTATACCCAGTCCAATTTTAAATGAAAAAGGGGATATTTAAAGATAGATAGATAGAATATTTTTTAACGAATTAATCGACCGACACTAAATGGACGTCGTAGCAATACGGGAAACCAAATTAACGAATAACATAAACATAAATATTTCTCAAGGCTCGAAGATTAAGCAGAAAAAATACAGGTCTTACCAGAAGCCCAATTCAGATTTAAAGCCAAACACTAAAGTGAACTCCAGCTACTTAAGCAAACAAAATACATAGCTGCAGGCTTTAACAATAGACAGTACACCCAAGCAGCCTTCCTAGACATAAGCATAGCATACAAAACGAAGAACTATGGATAGAGCAATGTTATGACCGAACTACTCATCTTATACCTCGCATAATGAAAGATTCAGGATTTGTATTGGACCTATCCGAAGTCGGAATTCTCTGTCTCCTCTGCTGTATAACATATACACAGCCGATGCCTCAGAACCCCAGGCACCACGATCAACCTCTATGTAGATGACACGTCAATAGTGACTAAGCACAGTAACCAAAACAGTACAACTAGGAACCTTCAGATAGCACTAGACGCCGTAGAAGGATGGTGCATACAGTAAAAAATTGCAGTAAATCTGAAAAAGACCCAAGCAGTGATGTTTAAAAAGAGACGCGGCGTACCAACGAACAACTAAAGATGTTCGGCTTCCATCGAAGGTCAAATGAAGATAAGTACTTCGGGATTACCATGGATAAGGGACGGAGGTTCTCATTCCCTATTACAAGAAGAGTGCAGAAGGCAAAAATGGTACAATTCAATATCAAAAGCCTAACTGGGAGAAGTAGCAAATTAACATTCAGAACAAAAACAAGGCTCATCAACAGAATCATACTGCCGATCCTGACATACGCATCTCCCGCTTGGGGACATACTTCAAGGCGAACAGAAAGAAGATCCAAGCTGTCCACAACAGAGCACTACGAGAAGCAGTGAACATCTCTAGATACGTAGCAAAAATATTTCTTTTCAGAGATAAGCGTATTAGACCAGATGGACGGCACAGCGAGAACAAAATTTTCCGAACTAATGGATTATCCTTAACACATCCTGCGAGAGATCATAAGGTATGATGTCTTTCACCGACCAAAATACAGAAGACCCAAACAGCAAGTGCTTGGCAATGACTGAGAAGAGATAGCATGTAAGCCCAAACTCCTTTAAAAACAATCATTAAAAAACACAAAAATAGCACATGCCAACCAAAAAATACTAACAGTGTTGAGACTCTGGAGTCAGCTCAACCGAAAGGCTCTTTTAGACTTACAGAAGCTCGATGCTCGAGGACAGAAAACACATAAAGACGACAGTAAAAATAAGACTACAGGACTAAGACCTCACGCTTATTATGATAGCTTCTCATAACGCATCAGCGTGCTGATGAAGGGGTCATGAAGGAGTGTTTGGAGAGCATTGGGCTCTCCATCCTCCTCACCCCAATGAATTGTATGTTCAAATGTTGCTACGTGTACGCAAGTCTCATGCAAGTCGGGGATTACTTTCATGTGTGTGTAAGGGTAGCGGGTAGACACTCTTTACGATCTCGGTAAAGACAGGTCTGCTTCAGGGATGCGCCCCTGCCCACGCGAGCTTGGCTTTTTCTCCCAATCCTCTTCCGGGAGAGAAGCGGATCCTAATCCCTAAATCCTACCCACCAACCCAGACCTACCCAAATCCTTCCCTTCCCTCCTCAACCCGCACTGGACCAGCGTGAGGAGATAACGGTCCAAACCTTCAAGTCAATGTACAGGACAAAAAAGAAAAGGCCCCCAGTGCCCAGCACTTCCCAGAGTCTTGATCTTGGCAGCGATCAAACAACTAACGGAAGGGGGTGCTAAGAATCCCTGGGTAAGACCCGGCTGCCACAAGATGACAATTTGGCTATGCTCCTACAATATTCGAACACTGACGGACGACAATAGATTCCCAGAAATAGAAAGTGAACTAAAGGATATAAAATGGGATATCCTTGGTATATGCGAAACCAGAAGAAAAAGTGATGAGTATGTAATACTAAATAATGGCACACATTTTATGCATAAAGGTGGCGAATACACTGGAGTGGGATTCTTGGTAAAACAAAGCCTCACACAGTGTATCGAAGAATTCAAGCCCATATCAGACAGAGTATCATATCTTATCATCAGGATTAATAAAAGAACCACTCTGAAAGTGATCCAAGTGTACGCTCCGACCAAAAGCCACGACGATGAAGAAGTAGAAATATTTTATGATGAAATAAGAACAGCTATAGAAACAAATAAAGCAAATTACAAAATACTATTAGGAGATTTTAATGCTAAATTGAGCAAAAAAGAGGAAGATTATGAACATTTAATTTGTAACTATGGCTACGGGAAAAGAAACGATAGAGAAGAAATGCTTCTCAATTTCATGAATGAACATAGCATATACTCAATGAACTCCTTTTTCAATAAAAAACCAAGCAGAAAATGGACATGGATGAGTCCCGATAAAAAGACAAAGAACGAAATAGATTATATCTTAACGAAGAATAGAAACCTAGTATAAGACGTATCAGTATTAAATCAGTTTGACTAGGAAGCGATCATAGACTAATAAGAACAAAACTAATAATTAACAAAAAGAAATACATGAAAAAGAATACATGAAAAAAGATACAAATGGACATCTGAAGAAATCAAAAATAGTGAATTTAATAAAAAGATAGTGCATGCATTAAATCAAGTTAGCATGCAGCAGATAAACTCCAATGATATTGATGATTTGAATAACCTTATTACCGAAACAGTGAATAAAAGCCTTCTGCAACTGAAAAAAACCAAAAACAACATACAATGAATTAGACAAAGAAATATTACAACAAATAGAAAGAAGGAAGATCTTAAATAAATCTAACAAAAGGGGAACCGACGAATATAGACGACGTGTGTGTGTGTGTGTGTGTGTGTGTGTGTGTGTGTGTGTGTGTGTGTGTTTGCGTGTGTGTATATCATTTTAAAAAGTAGGGTTTTTAAGTAACTATTAGTAAGTAAGCAACTTTTAGATAGTAAGCAACTCTTTTTGGGTATTCTCGAATCAGCACCCGCTGAACAAAATTATGACCAACCACCAATGGTTATTACAAGTACTAATGTTTAGTCATTCATCATCATCATCATTCAGCCCATACTCGTCCACTGCTGAACATAGGCCTCCCGTAGTTCACCCCACAAATTTCTGTCCTGAGCCGCCTGCATCCAATTTTGATGTGTCCGTTTCAGGTCAATCCGTCCATCTTGTTGGTGGTCGTCCTCTATTCCTAAAGGCATCTTGTCTGGGTCTCCACTCAAGAATGCGTTTTGTCCATCTGCCGTCCTTCGTTCTCGCGACGTGCCCTGCCCAGCTCCATTTTAAGGTTGATATTCTTTTGATTGCGTCGGTTACTCCCGATCTAAGGCGCAATTCTGTGTTGGGTATTCGGTCTCTCAGGGTTAATCCCAACATGGACCGTTCCATTGCCCTCTGTGTTGTTCGAATTTTGTTTGCGGACGTCTTAGTAAGTGTTAGCGTCTCCGCACCATAGGTTAGAACCGGCAGCACACATTGATCGAAGACTTTTCTCTTCAAGCAGATGGGAAGAGCTGATTGGAAAACATCTCTTAGCTTTCCATAAGATGCCCATGTTAACCCTATTCTACGTATTAGTTCATTGGTCTGGTTATCTCTACTTAAGCGAATTTCGTGTCCTAGATATTTGTATGCTGATGTTTGTTCTATACTTGTTCCAGCTATGTTGATGTTCTCACTCAGAACAAGGTTTGTCATCACTTGTGTTTTTGAGTTATTGATCTTTAAACCCACTTGTGTAGAGGCATGGTAGAGTCTTTCGCACATTTCGATGGCATGATCTATGTGGTCTGTTATCAGGACTATATCGTCCGCGAACCTGAGGTGACTAAGCTGCTCTCCATTTATGTTTATGGCCTTTTCGTCTAG